AATGAAGTCAATATGTTGCCTGCATGTCATGTGAGCCAGACACTGAATTTAGAGGGGGGCAAAGATCTGTTCAGGCATTTCCACCTCCCAGTGCTTTAAACAAAGCCCTCAAAGATGTAGCTCCGTTTGCATCTCCATTGGCTAATTCCATTATAACTTGAGAAGTTAAGGCCCCAGGTCAGCAAAAGTACCTTAGGGTACTTGGTTGAGAATTTTGCTGCATTAGGACTTGAATCAGTAGACGCTGACCACATAGTCAAAATAAGAAATTATGTTTGTTTTTCCTAGACTACATAGTTGTTTCTTGAAGTGTACCATGGTCCTTGAACATGTGTTGGTCTAATACAGTCCTCTTAATCTACGGTGATGTGTTGTATTCACGGCATTAGCGTAGGGATTAAACCAACTTGTTCCTATTTAATACAAACAATGCCAATTATTCTCTTCTATAAGTCAGGAGACTCAATCTGTAGGCTTCATGGGCTTCTGTATAACAATAGCAGATGGTGACTTCATGCTAACATGAAGAATAAAAGCACAAAAGGAAACTGGAAGATTTAATTTCTGGGTGCATGTATCAAAAATACAGAAGAATAACTGCATCACAATATAGCCCTGTGCAGCAATGCTGACAGGTACATCAAGTAGAAAATTAATCTTTTATAATTCATTAGCCAGGGCAAGCTGTTCAGAATGTGGTGTGGATTTGTGTTTACTTTGGGAAATTGTGTGTTTAACAGGGAAATTTAAATTTATAAATTGTATGTGTGTCTGTGTATGTGTGTTTGTATGTTTGAAACAACTACCACCAAAAAAACAGCAGGTAAACTGTAAGATTTTGGCTAGTAAAACCTAATTAGTAAATTAATGTAAGATATATTTACTGCTGTGTATGAGAAGCTGATTGTAAAATAGTAGATGCAATGGAACAGATGCTAGTTCAAATTTTAATGTGCGCCCCTACAATAGTCAAATTTCTCTCTTAAAACAAAGATCTACCTATGAGCTAACATCCAGGTCTCAATCTAGAGAAATTTAGCTCCATCAACAGTTTTCTGATATCCTGCATTGGCGAACGCCAGCTCCAGTAGACAATGCATGCAATACACAGCATTCAGTCTAATACCGGCTGTGGAAACAAAACAGTTATTCACATCTGTTATTAGAACTACAAAAAATCCACTCGTGAAATTGAAAATTCTCTCCCTAATTCTTCAATGTTAAATTCTCTTGTGTGAGGAGAGCATGATAACTTGGTGTGCGAGGAAAGAGATAAGGGAAGTCAGGGATTGTCGTGTAGGAAGGAGCAATGCTGAAAGGTGAGCGAGATTTCCATACAAACCCAAGTAGGCGTTGAAAAACATTTTGGCATTTAAATTGCGACCATCAGATTTTTGTCAAATCTGAACTAGAAGCATATCCTGCTGGTTTCTCAGCGAGATGCCATATTTCTGCCATACTGCCTCCACAGGATCTGATCCAAGTCAGTGGGTGCTGAGTAGGCTCAGGTCTTCAGAGGAGTCACGTGGCTGAAACATGTCTCGTTTCTAATTCACTATTTGAAGTGACTCATCCTGCTTGGCATTTTCCCTGCTGAATTTTATCTGTAGGAGTCCCAATGCTTGATGTTTCGGCGTAGGCCCTGGTCGTGCCAACATACATGTGCTTAACTTCACTGCCATGAGGAGTCCCATTGACTTCAGTGAAATGAAACATGCATGTGAGCATCCCCAGGATCAGGGCCCAAGAAAGAAGACCCCTCATCTAGCTCTTTGCATGTTGGCTGGATGTAATCCAAGCTGATATTGCATGTGAAAATCAAATGTAGAGATGGAGAGAGACTGCAACAGAACGAAACAAATTTGATGAAGAGTTCTCAGTGGACATTGAGCAGGGGGTTGGGCTAGATGACCTCCTGAGGTCCCTTCCAACCCTGATGTTCTATGATTCTGACATTTTAGAGTCTCAAATTGTAGAGGAAATGCTTTGTAATAACTTCCCATTGATTCATAGATGACTTCTCTCACCGTTGTGATTCAACTGGCAGGATTTGACTTATCAGCGAGGGTCTGATCCAGAGCCCTGTGAGGGGGATGGAAAGACTCCCATTGACCTCACTTAGAGGTGGCTCAGCATCATAATGAATATAGTGAATGCCAGAGCAAAGATCTGAAACAGGGAGTCTCCCACTGTTTGGCACTGCATAGAGTGGAGGGGAGCCAAAAGAAAGCCACGTAACAGCCTCCATCTGGGGCTTTTGACCACCAAGAACAGCCCCCTCCCTGCCATATGGGACAGGTGGTGTGGCCCATTCTTGTACTTCTAAGGCTTGTTCACTCTGGTAGGGGAATAGGGGAATCCATATCAAACGTTAAACAAAAACGTGACTACATTTTTATATATAGGCTATTTACCCTACTCTTCTGAATGAGCAGGGACATTTTTGCTTTTATTACATCAGCATAGTTTATTACAATGTAATTTTTATTCTTATTATTTATTAATTTTTACAATGACTTGAATACTTCAATATCAAATAAGACAATAGTATCCATCAACAATAATGAGTAAGTAAAACAGGTTCGGTTCCCCCCGCTCTGAGTCCTATCATCAGTGTTACCCTTTTTCTTCCTGATCCAACTCTACCCCTACCCAACCACAGCTGTCCTGTGCTCTTGGCAGCCACAGTTACAGCGTCTCTTCTCTGACAGAAGGGGAGGACGAGGGAGTGATGCTGTACTGGACGGACACCAATATCACTTCCTAAGCTTGCTAATGGGATGCTGTGACCCTCGCCACTAGCAAATTAGCACATCTTGTCTGGAAGATGATTGATCAAGATCTCAGAAGCCAGGGCCCGCTGCCTGACACTTTGCTGCTAGCTGCTGGGATTTCCAGAGCTGATGCCGAAGCCATGAACGTTATTTCAGTAGCCACTCAACCTCTGGCACTGAAGGGGTTAACCTGGGCTGGTTTCCCAGCTGACTGGGTAATGAATGCACTGCCACTGGCCACCAGGGTGGTGGTTGGCTCCAACCTTTTTACTTCACTTCACATTTCTATTTCCATTTTTTTTTAAATTATTTTATTTTGCAGGCTTTTCCCTGCCATTAGGTCTGCATGGAACTTTTCTTTTAAGATCAGTCTCCCTGAGCAAGTTTATGTGCAATCATGGGTGACATGATTGATTTATGTCAAAACATTTGCAATGTCCAGAACAGAAGCCCTTCTTGGGCACACAAGTTCTGCTACATTGCTGTGACGGACTCTCTGCAGAGTGTGAAATTCACCCCTGACAGAGCGGCCAGGTCCAGGTTCCAGAATCACTTAAATCCTGCTTTCACCCAAACAGCATTGTGAGTCATGTGTACACCTCTCAACCCTCCCTAGTTTTGAGGGCTGTCACTCATTTTTGTCCCAAAAGTTACCACATTCCACACAGGTAAATAAAAAATGGGGAGACACCACATCAGGAAAAGAGCCAGGAATCAGAAGCTTTAGGAAGAGAGGCCTTGACACTAAAAGAAGCAGCTGTCCCCTGCGTGGGTGGGGTTGTGTCCCCCTCCCTTTGGGCCTTTAAACATAAGACCATAAGAACAGCCAGACTGGGTCAGACCAAAGGTCCACCTAGCCCAGTATCCTGTCGGCCAGCAGTGGCCAGTGCCAGGTGCCCCAGAGGGGATGAACAGAACAGGGAATCATCCAGTGATCCCTCCCCTGTCGCCCATTCCCAGCTTCTGGCAGTTTTGGCCCTTGTCACACCTGGCCTCCCAGATTTGGCCAGTAGCCAAATTCTTTGTTCTTTCTGTTTTGTCTGACCCGCCCTGGGAATTGGCAGCGTGACCCAGAGAGAGAGAGAATTTGAATCTCTGTCCAAGGAAGGAGAAGGGGCAGTGGAGGGTTGCCAGCTGCTGAAGTGAACGTTCTCCCCATGAAGTGAGGGGGAATTATGCATATGTGTCATGGAGGGGGTGGAAGGCAAAGGACTAGGCCTGTCTTCCTCCCACTTCCTGAGTGTTGGTCATTCCCTGGCCTTTTCCAAGCAGTTCCAAGGTTCATAGATTTGAAAGGCAGAAGGGACCATTGTGATCATCTAGTCTGACCTCCACAGCTGGCCACAGATTGCACCTTGTGGTTCTTGCACTGAGCCTACTAATGTGAACAGCTGCATAAGTCACAGCTAGTAACAAGCAGGAAGTGGTGGTGTCCTTTTGCAAACCCAAGTCCCCATGCTGTAGAACAAGATTTGCTGCAAACTGGTCGTGCTCTTGGAACTGATATGTTTTAACTGCCCTGCTTCTAATGAAGCAATCCTTTGTTGCAAGAATTCTGTTCATATTCTCCCTGCTTATCGACATTTTATAAACCTCTGGTATCTGCATCTTATCTCAGAACATAACCCAAACAACACCACCAGGATATTAATGTTTACACGGCTTCTCTGAATTCCCTTACTCTTCTCTGCTTTTCTCACTGGGTCTGTGAAAAGATAGGATGACAATGCATCCCGTTTTGACCGGGACTGTTCCTTTTTTTAAGCCCTGTCCCAGCCTTCCTGAAATTTTTGGCAAAAGTGAGCATTTGTCCCGTTTGCTCTTGGCCAACTTGATCAGTTTTTTTTTTTTTTGTCAAAAAGGTGGGGTGTGGTGCGGAGGAATGCGGGGGGAGGGGGGGTGAGCAGAGATGCCAGCCCCTCGCAGGGGGGAGGCAGGGCTCTGGCCGGGGAGAGTGCAGGGGGTGTCCATGGAATAATTTAGAGGTGAGACTGTCTGGGAATCCTCGCTGTGTTTCTGGGCCCTGTTGTGGGGTTTTCTCTTGAGGGACGTGGTTTGACTCTAGGTGACCCAGCTTGCCACTCTGTGCCTGGCCGACTGGGTCATGGTTAGCGTTGGCCTCAGCCTCCTCTCGCACCCGTTCGATTGGTGGGATTTTCTGAAGCAGTTTGGCTTTTTGTCAATGAATGTTTCATCTTTTACACTCTCTCTCTCTCTCTCTCTAAGCTAATGACCAAGCACCCTGGCAAACGCCTGGGATGTGGCCCCGAAGGGGAGCGGGACATCAAGGAGCATGCCTTCTTCCGGTATATTGACTGGGAGAAACTCGAGCGTAAAGAAGTTCAACCTCCATTCAAGCCAAAGGCTGTAAGTTTGATTGTATTAAAGTGTCTCTCTCTCTCCTCTCTCTCTCTCCCACACACACTTTCTCTTCTCCCCGCGCTCACACAGAAGCATATGGGCAGATGCTACTTTCCTTACCCACTCGATGAATGTATCCCACACTTACTTTATATATTTAGGAGATCCCACGCCCGTAAAGCTGGCACATGTCTAGCAACCATGCTAAGAGAATAAATCATTCTGCCTAGCGGGGCCGCTCATCTTGTCTTCAGAGTACAGAGGTAGAAATCCTGTGTTTGTTGGCTCAGGGATCTAATTGCATTACGATACCTCTCAATTCGTTATCGCACAAGTCACTCTCTCCTGTTGTTCTCCCTCTGAAGTTTAAAAAGTCTCTTTCTAAACTGCCTCTTAACATCTAGCTCAGCAACATATGCCAGGTCTGAATTGGTCATGAAGCAGCAATTCACTCACCGGCTTCTACCCCAGGTAAAGCCCAGGTAGTCTGGAGCTTGAATTGTGTATGAGCATTAGCAGAAAGCCAGAGGAGAATCCTTGTGATAAGAAGAATCTAGTTTCTTGCATTGTTTCTGTATTTCTTCATGCTGGACTTTGCTGGCTGGGGTGCAGATTATAGGTACTGGGGGGCGGGGGGGGGGAATGTGCAGCATCTATTGCTCGATGTGGGGTCTAACCTCTGAGAGGTGAGGCTGAGGTGGGTATGCCAATGGTCTGAAGACTATTTAGCTACCATGGGTAAGAGGAATCGGTACTTTGCCAGCACGTGGCTGGCACTGAGAGGCAATTTGAGCAGCCAGTAATGCAACATGCATTTCAGTCTGTATTACGCCTTGCGTGAGGCGCGAGAGTCGGAAATCAGAAGAGAAAGGAGACCTTTTGAATAACAAAATAGGCCTGATGTGAGAGGAAGGATGGCCCAATAGTTAAGCACTGCTCTAGCTCTCGGGGGACCGTAGTGTTCCCGTAGGACCTCTCTGCCTCAGTTCTCCACTGTACAACGTGCGTAATAGCAATGCCCTGCCTCAAAAGTGTGCTGCGAAGATAAACGCATTAAAGATTGTGAGGGGCTCAGATACTACAGTGATGAGGAACATATCAGTACCAGAGAGAGATGGATCTCCTGCTTCTCTGTCCCTTTCTGCAACGACCATATGGCAATAATTGATCATCGGCCGTCGATGTGATGTCGAGAAGCTAATGGCGTAACAGCGCTATTCCTGGAGTCTCCAGCTTTGTCCTTAAGTTGCTCACTTCTTTGTGTGTGTGTGTGTGTGTCCCTTGCTCCTCCCTTGTCTGTCATTTCCTGGGTCAGATACCTGCACTCTGCATGATCCCAAAGTTAAAGCTGATTCTCAGGATTGGGGTTTTGTGTTCAGTAACCTCGCTTTGAGCTGGAAGGAAGCTCCCTCTGGTCGCGAGTCCATCCCCCTGCATTATGGCAGACATGATTCAATTATCCCTGACCCACTCCTGATAAATGTGCATCTGGGTCTGACTCTCTCAAGTGAAGGAGGATCCCAAAGTCCTTTGTTCCCTCCCAGTTTCAAAGGCTTTCCCCCTATTTAGCCCCAGCCTCTGTCTGGGAATTTAAGGCCATGCTTATTTTTCTGTCCTCCAAGATGGAGGATCGTCAATCTTTGCTCTCTCAGTAACATCCCTCCAGGACCTGTCTGCCGCTGTCCTAGCTATTAGTTGTTTCGCCCCAGGCCCTGACCCTTCCCTCTCTGGTCTTATTGTCCAAACATTTTATTAGTCTTGCTCATTATGCTTTTACCTTTATCCTAATCTCATCACTGCTGCTTCCTCCACAGGGCCAGTTTCCTGGCATGAAATGTCCAGACTTGCTTTTCCCCTGACTTACCTAAGAACTGGTTCCCTCCGAGGAGACTCATTTGCTGTTAACAGCATATGTAATGAATGGAGTATGTGCCCGTAGAATACTATTTAGCATTACATACCTGTGGTTAAACACCAGTCTTCTCTAGCAGCCTCTTCCCTTTTAAAGCTGATTGCCTGACTGTTCAGAATGGAGAAATTGTCTCGCAGGTGGGTAAAGTTAGCACTACCCCAGCTGCGTGACGGCTTCCCAAATGCCACGCTCATTTTGCCTTGTACAGTATTGCCCAGACTCTGGTTAGGGCCACAGGAGTGGTCCCTGGGAGAACGGATTCTGTTCCCAGCTCTGCCACAACCCCCGTGTGACCAGGGACCTCTCTCTGCATCTGCAGAACTGGGATAATGATACTTATGTCCCTCCTTGTGCTCATTCGTTCTGAGCCTCCCAGTCCCACATGGGCCCTGTGGACCCCACCAAGCCCTGGAAGGACTCTGGCTTTCCACCATGTGCTCGAACATAATTATGTTTAAATTACTATTGTATATTTACAAAGAACTCCAGCTTACTGAAGTCTTGTCTGGGAATGAAGGAACTCTACTCTCCTAGGAATGGAAATTCAGGCACATCTGACCCAAGATCTGCTGCTATGGGATTTGCACTCTGACCGTATTCCCAAATGTCCCATTCCCCACAACTACAACCATACTGGACATTTTGAAGATCAAGGGAGCAGGTGACACCTGGGTGAGGATTATCCAAGAAGTCTAAACTGCTGCCTTGTGCACCATGGCTCAGAGGGGAGAAAGCTGTAGGTCATACGCTGTGTGGGAAGAGATTACTTTGCTGCTGTCACAGCTCTGGTAAAGCTTCCCCTGCTAGACACTTACCAGGCAGCTGTGTTTGGGTCCCATGCACTGGACCCTTGGTCTGGCTAGGCTCCAGCATCATCTTTCTTTGGCCTCCATGGCACACTTCCTGAGCACGAACTCTGTCTGCTACCCCTTTGCTGAAGTGGGACCTTACTGTCCAGCTGCCAGGACCTGTGCTGACCTCCCACAACATCGTAGTAGCTCAGGCCGCTCTTCCCCAGAGCTCCAACCGTGTGTTCACCGTTCACTTCTCCAAGAAAGTGTGAGAGTTGAAGCACATAACATGCAAGCTAACAAGGGTTCAGAAACCTGTCTCTCTTTACACAGCACAAGAGCAATACAGATCCAGACAAACCAATAAAACACTTGCACCCCCTTCCCTGCCTCAGTTTCCTCACCACTCTGGACTGTTCTTGGGGCTGAAGTGGGAGTCCCCTAGCGTGTCCAGGATCCTCCCCCTTCTCCTCCTGCACAGCCTTGCTTTCGGCTTCTGCCTCTGCTCCTGTCTCCCTCTCTCTTTAAAACAGCTGGGCGGAGTCCTCCTTTCATAAAGACGTGGTTCTTTTTGTCAGGTGACTCTCCCCCAATCACCCTCGTCAGGTGTTCAGAGTGCCCTGTCAGCTCATTCTGTTGCATGATTACTACCCACCTAGGTGAGCTGTTTTTCTAGGTCTGGCTGTCTTCTTTGTTCAAGGGTGCTTCCATTTGAACAGAAGACTATCAAGGTTTAACCACCCTACGTTACTAGCCTGGTGTCACCACCCCTTGGATGGTATTCCTAGATGGAGGTAAAAAGACAGCAGAGAAGGCAGGCTAGCCTCACAATCAAAATGGATAGAGAGATGTACAAAGAGTTATGAATTCCAGTTTGAAATTATAAAGTTGTACGTAGATTCCCAAATCATCACAGCTGGTGAATCATTTGGGGTCAGCTGTAAAGCCAGACCCTGATTTGCATGCTCAAGACAGAAGATATTTGTGTGAATTGTGTTAATGTTCAAAAATGAAAACCCACGTGGGGCTGCCAACTCGAGTAGAGGTGGGGATGAGGCTGTGCATTTTAATGTGTTTCTGGAAGTTACAACATCTAGCACAGGGCCCAGGAAGCTCAGAGCTTGACTTTCATTTGGCAATGATCCATTTTTCCTGAAATTTGTAGCTGCTTGTTTTCCCCATCTGTGCTCATTTTCTAACCAGACCTGCTTCTTCCTGTCTCCTGCCATTCACCAGTTCCTTCCTGAGCCAGATGTCCTGTTACTGTATCTGCCGCATGTTGCATCTTTGTTTGTTTGTTTTTTTAATGCAAAAAGTTGAATTCTCTCAAATACACTCTCTCAATGTGTTTGTTTTTAAAATGTTCAAATTGTGTCCTGCTGTAAATGTCTTATTTCTTTAAAATTCCCTTTGAACGTGGACCTTGGAATGGAGTATGGTAAGCTATTGTCTGTTCTTTCTCATCTAACAGCTTGCCGTAGGAAATATTTTAACATTTGATAGGAAAGGGAGATTAGTATTAAGGTAGGTTCAGTAGGTTTTTGGATTAGTGAGGATTAAGATGACTCAGGTACCTGCTGATGGTCCAACAGCCATGTATCTGTGTTGAAAAATACATATTCCTTTAATGCCATCTGCCAAAAGGAAATCAAAGGAAAGGAACTTTTTTTTTTAAAGGTGCTGTCTGGTTATCAAAATGCCCATTCACAGTCACAGGGATACAGAAAATCTGGGTTTAAAATATCCTTGGGGAAGGAAGAGTTTATGATCACTTTTAAAAGTTCACCTGTAATCTAAGGCTTTAATGGCAGTAAGTTTGGTCTTGCGCAGAAAGGCGCGGGCAATGGCAGTATGTGCTAACGTGGTCTTTTTCACTTCCACAGAAATCTTTTTTTTATTTCAAATTAGCCATTGAAATAATAGAAATACAATAGACTACATGGAACTTTTTTCTGGTCAGCCAAGGTTTTAAAGTACAGACTGTAGATAAGTCTAACACAGCTGTGCATATGTGCCCAGAGAGCTTGTCTGCACTACAGAACATTACCGCTGACGCCAAGCTGATTGCAGTTCTGCGGTCAGCGCAGAGCAGGGCCCACTGAGTTCAGCATCACGTCAGGTAATGCAGCGGGTGACGGCTTTGCTCAAACACGGCAAAATGGTTTTTGCTGTACACAAGGCCACTGAGGCCGGAGCTGTCCAGGGCTCTAATACAGATGCCATTAAGAAGCTAATGGGAGCGGGCTGGTGCTGGGCTGGGTCAGGTCCTCCTCTGCCGTGTTTCAGCTCTGGTGGCATCTTTA